TCTCTTCTCATCTCTCTCTCTAACCTATAAATACGAACCGTTTTTCTTAGTGGAAAAACATTCGATAGTTATCTTTTTGTGTTGAATAAACATATGGTCATTAGCATCTCACAATTTTCGCCTGTTCTCTGTTATACTGACGTATGTTTTCTGTACTTGGATCCTTGAAACCGACATTCACTGCCCAATTATCTCCAATGGAAGAGAGCGGTTATAACTTTCGTCAAATGTCAAAGAAAATCACACAACTTTAATTTAACAGTTCTGAAACTGCTTCATAACAGGATTCAAAGTCGTACGATGGCCTACATCCGCAATCTTTCGGTCAGCGAAAGCGGACCTGATGACTCACTCTCAAGTAGAAAAATGAATAGAAAATGTATTCCCAGGTGAACTTACACGCTCTAAACTTGCCATGGCCACGCTAGTTTTTCCACGGGCAGGACACGTTACGTGACCATGGGTGTGGCCACGCGTGTGGCAAAGCCACGTCACGTGGCTTGCAAAAATCCTTGCGAGCTCGCCATGCCATGTGACTTGCTTTTCTAACTTATATTTTCTATTATAAACTGTATGATATTATGACATATTTTCCAGCTACCATTCAAAGTGTTGTTTCTGATTCCTTTCAAAAGTATGATCTTTCAGTTTATCATGCATGTTTATTTTGTGTGAACCTACATAGTCATACATCGAAGACAAAAACACAGAAAGAACTAGCTTTGATGAACAATATAAGATATGTAAACACAAAAGGAAAACACAAGATGTAACAAGCAAAAACCAGCTTCTACACAAACAATATTCTTCTTTAACCAGTAACTCCACTACCACTATCATCCTCTTGTTCATCTTCTCTTTCATCTTGTTCAACTTCTTCTTTATCTTGTTCATCTTCCGGATCTTCATTATCATCAGCCGCACCATCTAAACCAAAAAGACCTGGTAACAATTCAAGTTTTTTTAACTAGAATATTATGCGCACCATCATTATTCAGCACAACAGCCGGTGCATTGCATTTTTTGTTTTTCATGTCGCCAGCCATTTGTAGAATAGTAAATGGATCCATCTGTACAGAATTCAATATAAATCAAGGTGCTGTGCAAATTAGCTCTTAAAAGTCACTTGGTGCTTTTTCTTCCTTGTAGTAGATTACAATAGTCATTGTTTTTCTTTTGTACAAAAAATAACAAAAAGATCGTTTCTGTTCTTTTTATTTATGTATAGGAAAGAAAAAGGTTTATAAGGAAAAAGTATATTTTTTATAGGCTAAAAAAGGTTTTGTAAGAAAACGTATAGCTTTTATAGGCTAAGAACGGTGTATAAGAAAAAGTATATTTTGTTT